TCTAACGGGTTTGCCTAGCTAAAGTCACTCCCCGATCTAATCCGTCCTCCCAATCAGCTACCAAAATCATTTTCCTAAGGCTCAGCTCTGACCGTGTCCCTCATGTTAGAAGGCAGGTAGGTGGTGCAATCGATAGAACAAACACTGGACCTGGAGTCAGGAAGACCTGAGTTCAAATCTGGCCTCAGATGATTACTAGCTGTGTGACCCTCAGCAGGTCCATTATCCTCTGTTTCCTCATCTGCAAAATGGGGATAATAATAGCACCTTTCGGGGTTATGAGAAGATATTGTTAGCACACTGGCTGGCACACAGTAGATGCTATATAAATACTCTCTCCAATCAACTCCCAAGGTACCTCCAGGATCAAGTATAAAATCTTGTTTTGCATTCTAAGCCCTTCATCACCTAGCCCTGCACATACCTTTCCAGTTTTCTTAAATCTTATACACCCCAGTCCCTACACACACACACACACACACACACACACACACACTCCTCGCATGCTTTTTGACCTTGGCCTCCCTGCTGTCCCATGAGCAATATACTCCGTCTTTCCACTCCTGGTGTTTTCTCTGTCTCCCAGGCCTGGAATACTTTCCCTCCTCATCTCTGCCTACTGGCTTTCCTGACTTCTTTTAAGTACCAGCTAAAATCTCACTTTCTACAGGAAGTCTTTCCCAATCCTTCTTAATTCTAGTGCCTTCCTTCTGTACATTTTTTTCCCCTCTTTATACTGTATATAGCTGGTTCATATGTATTTCTTTGCTCAGGGATAGCTTTTTGCCTCTCCTTGTACACACAGTGCTTAGCACAGTGCATAGCATGTAGGTGCTTAATAGATACTCATTGACTGACTGACAGAGGACATTGTAGTTGGTAGGCACTGGGGAAGATTGGGTTTAAAAGGAGAATGGTTTAAGAAGTAGGAGGGGGGCTGAGCGAAGATAGTGGAATAAAAACAGTGACTTGCTTGAGCACTCCCCTAAAACCCTCCAAATACCTGTAAAAAATGGCTCTAAAAAAATTCTAAAGCAGCAGAACCCACAAAAATACAGAGTGAAACAAATTTATAGCCCAAGACAGCCTAGATGGTTGATTGGGAAAGATATATTGTGCTGGGCCAGTAGAAGAGCACAGTTCGTATTGGCGCACAGGCAAAACAGGCCTCAGCGAACCTGGAGCAGGCCTCAGGGGACTGAATCAAGAGAAGCTGTGGCAGTTTCCAGACTTCTCAACCCACAGTTGCCAAAGACAACTTAGAAGGTCAGTGGGAAAAGTCTGTGACTAAGGTGAGAGGGTGCAAGAGAGAAGCAAAGTCCCAGCCCCAGTCCTGGAGCTTGGCCCCAGGGCAGCAGCTACTTCTGGAGCTTCTGGCCCACAGACTGAGGGGAAATTGAGTGGCTGATCAGATGGGGGATTGCAGGGATCTCTCTGCTGGTGCAGGATTCTCTTGCTTTGCCTGTGCTTGGATCTGGGTCACAGTTCTGGGTGGTGGTCCTGGGGCAAGGAAGAGTGCTGGCATGATGAAGCTTGTAGTGGCGATAAAGAGAAAATCCTCCTCACAGTTCCAAGGCAGAAAAGAGTGCTTGTGGCCACTCATAGACTAGAGCACAGGCCAAGAAAGGAGTAAACACCCAACCTCTGATTGTGCCACCTCGGAAGAAGTGAAAATTTACAGGTCCCTACAAGTATCTCTGAAAACAGCTGCACAAAACCCCCAAAGCTTGGGACAGTACATTCTCTACCCTGGAAGCAGACTCCTACCTTAACAAAGAGTTTAAAACTCAAGTAATTGGCTAGGATCATGAGCAGACTGCACAAAAAAAGTCAGACCATAGAATCTTTCTTTGATGACAAAGAAGATCAAAACATATGACCAGAAGACAACAAAGTCAAAGTTCCTACATCCAAAGCCTCTAAGAAAAATATGGATCACTCCCAGGCCATAGAAGAGCTCCAAAAGGATTTTGAGAAGCAAGTAAGGGAATTAGAGGAAAGACTGGGAAAAGAAATCAGAGTGATGTAAGAAAATCATGAAAAACAAGTCAACAGCTTGCTAAAGGAGACCCAAAAAATACTGAAGAAAATAGCACCTTAAAAAATAGCCTAACCCAAATGGCAAAAGATGTCCAAAAAGACAATGAGGAGAATGCCCTAAAAAGCAAAATTGGCCAAATGGAAAAAGAAGTCCAAAAGCTTACTGAAGAAAATACTTCCTTAAAAATTAGGCAGCTAGATGGTGCAGTGGATAGAGCACTGACCCTGAAGTCAGGAGGACCTGAGTTCAAATCTGGCCTCAGACCAAACACTTGACATGTACTAGCTGTATGACTGTAAGCAAGTCATTTAACCCCAATTGCCTTTTTAAAAAAATTAGAATGGAGCAATTGGAAGCTAGTGACTTTATGAAAAATCAAAACACTGTAAAACAAATCCAAAAGAATGAAAAAATATAAAAGCAATGTGAAATATCTCATTGGAAAAACAACTGACCTGGAAAATAGATACAGGAAAGATAATTTAAAAATTATTGAACTACCTGAAAGCCATGATCAAAAAAAAAAAAAAAAGAAAGCCTAGACATCATCTTTCAAGAAATTATCAAGGAAAACTGCATCGATATTTTAGAACCAGAGGGCAAAATAGAAATTGAAAGAATCCACCAATCTACCTCTGAAAGAGATCCCCAAAAGAAAACTCCTAGGAATATTGTAGCCAAATTCCGGAGTTCCCAGATCAAGGAGAAAATATTGTAAGCAGCCAGAAACAATTCAAGTATTATAGAAACACAATCAGGATAACACAAGATTTAGCAGCTTCTACATTAAGGGACAGGAGGGCATGGAATATAATATTCCAGAGGGCAAAGGAGATAGGATTACAACCAAGAATCACCTACTCAGCAAAACTGAGTATAATCCTTCAGGGGAAACAATAGTCATTCAGTGAAATAGGGGACTTTCAAGTATTCTTGATGAAAAGACCAGAGCTGAATAGAAAATTTTACTTTCAAATATAAGAGTCAAGTGAAATATGAAGCGGTGAACAGGAAAGAGAAATCATAAGAGACTTATTAAGGTTGAACTGTTTGCATTCCTACATGGAAAGATGATATTTATAACTCATCAGACCTTTGTCAGTATTAGAGTAGTTGGAGGGAAAAAATTATATGTATGTATATATGTATATATATATATATATATATATATATATATATACACACACATATATATTATATATGTTTATACATGTATATATATGGAGAGAGAGAGAGAGAGAGAGAGAGAGAGAGAGAGAGAGAGAGAGAGAGAGAGAGAGAGAGAGAGAAATCTCACAGGGTGAGTTGAAGATTTAGGGGTGATATCTGGAGAATAAAATTAAGGGGTGAGAGAGGATTGTACTGGGAGAAGGAGAAAGGGAGAGATAGAATGGGGTAAATTATCTCACATAAAATAGACAAGAAAAGGCTTTTACAGTGGAGAAGTGGGGGAAGGAGAGAGGGAATGAGTGAATCTTATTCTCATTGGATTTGGCTTAAGGAGGGAGTAACATACACACTCAGTTGGGTATGGAAATCTCTCTTACCCTACAGGAAAATGGGGGGGGGACAAGAGAGCAGGAGGATGATAGAGGGGAGGGAAGATTGGGAGAGGGACTTCTGAGGAGGGATAGGGACAAAAGAGAGAAGAGAATAAATGGGGGGCAGGATAGGACAAAGGGAAATATACTTAGTTTTTCACAACATGACTACTATGGAAGTGTTTTGTATGACTATGCATGTATAACCTGTGTGGAATTGCTTGCCTTTTCAGTGAGGGTAGGTGGGGAGGGAAGAAGGGAGAAAATTTGGAACCCAAAATTTTAAAAGGTGGCAACAGAGTGCTTTGGATCCTTGAGTACAGGAGTGATTGATCCGATCAAATATTTGTGCAAGGAAGAATATTCTAGAAGCAAGAGAAGAACAGGTTAGAAAGCAGCAAGAGGAGAGAGGGGAAGACATATCAGAAGACTGCACAGTCAGTGTGAGTGACTTATAGGCATTCCCCAAGTGTTGTCTTCCCCATGAGAATATAAATTCCTTGAGGGCAGGCTTTGATTTTTGCTTATATTTGTATCTTTAGCTCTTAGTACAGTGTCTAGCACATGGTAAGCCCTTAATAAGTGCCTCTTCCTTCCTTCTTTCCTTTCTTTCTTATTCCTTCTTTCCTTCCTTTCTTCTTTCCTTCCTTCCTTTTTTCATTCTTTCCTTCTTTCATTCTTTCTTTTCATTTTCCTTCCTTCCTTCCTTCCTTCCTTCCTTCCTTCCTTCCTTCCTTCCTTCCTTCCTTCCTTCCTTCCTTCCTTCCTTCCTTCCTTCCTTCCTTCCCTCCTTCCCCAAAGAGATGGATCAGCCAATGATACAAAAATGATGGCATGTCTTAAATGAGTGTGTTTTAACTCACACAAACAGAAGGTTTGAGGAGTACAGTCAAGGACAGTAAGGTAAAGATACAATCACAATGCTCCTAATCCTTGGGTACCAGAGTCTTTAGACCATAGTAGAAGAAAAAAAAAGGGAGTTCTAGTCATCCTAGATGGTCTTTTCTCATAATCAGTGGGAAAGACAACTTGTCTCCCATTTCTTCCACCAGGTAAGGAGCTAACTGTTCAAACTAGGGCTACAATTATCAACTTTCAACTAGGGCAGCAGCTGACACTGTCAAGACTGGACACTGTCAAGACTGGGGCAGTACAGTGTCTCTTATACCTGTCCTACAGGGGCTGGGAGCCAACACCTCTGTCATCTAGGCCAAAGATGTTCCAATATTGCCCCACAACCTTGGGCACCATGACAACCAGGGCAGCAGGAGTCCCCAGAATTTCATAGGGAGGGACAAGGTTTACTCAAGCAATCTGATTGGCTTTCTGCTTCTGGTGTCACAGGTATGGAGGCACCAACTATCCAGATTGCATGAGGCATGGAACTTTCTATCTTAGAAGGTTCTGAGACCAAATGATTTCATAAAAGGAAGAAGTGCCAAGCAGGAAGAAAGGAGTGACTTAAATCACACTTGCACAGTGTCAAGAAAGACTAGATTACCCAAAGGAGAGGACTTTTTGGATACTATTTACATTACTGTAGGTGGGTGATGGTCAGAAGACTAAACTGAGAGGGTGGCTATGGGAATAGGGCAAAGCAGGTGGATATGAAAGATGTTTTGGATACTAAAGGGACAGTCTGAGAGATTCAGTGAACAGAAGAAATCCTGGGCCTAGAATCTGAGTTTCAATCCCACTTCAGACACTAGCTACATGACCCTGATTACTTTGGCTTCCTCAGTTGCCTCATCTGTAAAATGAGGATAATAATAGTTCTTACCTCCTAGGGTTGTTGTGAGGATAAAATGAGATAACATTTGTAAAGTAAAGTTTTGCAAGCCTTAAAATACTATACAAATGCTAGTTGTTGTTGTTATGGCTTGATAACTGCTTGGATATGAGAAATGGGGGAATAAGAAGGATCAAAGATAACCCTAAAGCTAGGAGAAAGGGAACGGGAATGTGGTGTCACATACGGAGATAGAGAAGTTGGAAGGAAGAGCTCAATTTTGGATGTTTGAGTTTGGAGGGGACAATGGAAGATCCAAGCTGGAGATGTTCATGTCAGTACAAGAACTAGAGGGCCCGAGAGAGGTAAGATGGTTCAAGAGGTATGATAGTGGACATGAGACTGAAGTTCCTAGAAAGGGGTAGAGAGGAGAAGAAGACCCAAGGCCAAAGAGTTAGTTAAAGTTGGAAGAGCAACCTGGAAATGAGTAGAGGAGGGCACTAAGGGTAGGAGTGAGGGTGAGTGCCAGACATGGGTTACATTGGCCACCCAAAACGAAAGGTTGTTCAAAGGTCACTGAGGTGGGAGTGTTGGGGGGGGGGTTAGAAAAATAGAATTGGTGATGAGGAACAAGGAGTATATACCCATCTCTAACCCTGGTCCAGAGAGTTGGGATAGTAGAAGGATTGACCCCAAGCAGAGAGGTTTACAAGGAAGATGATTTCCTCAAAGGAGAGACAAGAAGTGAAAAGAATATTAGTTGAAAAGCTCAAGGACACAGATGATTTCAGTGATAAGAAAGTAGAGATCTCAGAAAGCACAGGGAATTGATTAGGTGTAGCATGATACAGGGGAAAGAGTATTGACTCTGAAATCAAAAGATCTGGCTTGGAATCTTCCTATCACTCACTATCCATGTAAACTTGGGCAATTCACCCAACCCCTCTGGACCTTAGTTTCCCCATCTGTAAAATGAGGGGTTGAGTCGGATAGCTTCTAAGCTAGATAACCTTTAGATCTCTTCCAGATGATCTCTATGGTTCCTACTATAAACTTTATTTTTTAACCTTACATACCAAAAATTGAGCTATAGATAAAGGATTCCTTGAGCAGTATCATAGCAACACAGATTCTGAGTTGGGGTGGTCCTTAGAGATCACCTGGGAAATCTCTTCATTTTGTTGTTGAGTCGTTTTTCGATTGTGTCCAACTCTTTGTGATCCCATTTAGGGTTTTCTAGGTAAAGATACTGGAGTAGTTTGCCATTTCCTTCTCCAGCCCATTTTATAGATGAGGAAACAGAGGCAAATAGGGTTAAGGGACTTAACACAGTAGTAAGTGCCTGAGGCTGGATTTGAACCCAGGAAGAGGAGTCTTCTTGACTCCAGGCCCTCTATCCACTCTATCCACTGTGCCACCTAGCTCCCCCATATGTTCATATACATGGACATACTAACATATATACACATATATCTATATGTATATATGTATGTGTAGACACACACAGATATAGATATAGATATAGATATAGATATAGATATAGATATAGATACAGATATAGATATAGATATAGATATAGATATAGATATAGATATAGATATAGATATAGATATAGATATAGATATAGATATAGATATAGATATAGATATAGATATGGATATAGATGTAGATATGGATATAGATGTAGATATGGATACGGATACGGATGCGGATACGGATGTGGATACGGATGTGGATACGGATACAGATACGGATACGGATACAGATACGGATACGGATACAGATACGGATACGGATACAGATACGGATACGGATACAGATACGGATACGGATACAGATACGGATACAGATCTAGATACGGATACAGATCTAGATATAGATATAGATCTAGATCTAGATATAGATATAGATATAGATATAGATATAGATATAGATATAGATATAGATATAGATATAGATATAGATATAGATGTAGATGTAGATGTAGATGTAGATGTAGATGTAGATGTAGATATAGATATAGATATAGATATAGATATAGATATAGATATAGATATAGATATAGATATAGATATAGATATAGATATAGATATAGATATAGATATAGACATGGATATGGATATAGATAGAGATATAGATAGAGATTTTTTTAAAGACTGGGTTTCCTCATCTAGCCTGGTCTGGACTTGCAGGGATTATTCTTGGGCTTGGTCCCACTACTGATTGACATAGGAACTTCAAACTGTTTTGTTTCTGATCTGGGTGAGTTCTTCCCCCTCTTAGACAACCTGGTTGCCTCCAGCTCCTGGCGGCCACAGCTCAGAACTTTGGAGTTAATGAAATACAACAGCCTCAGCCTCTTCAGCTGCTAAGATTTCAGGCACTCACCTACATGCCTGGCTAATTTCTATATTCTTGAGGTCAAGGGACCTTAACTTGTATTTCTTCCTATGATGCCTATCCAGTCCAATTGAACAAGCATTTCTTAGGCATCTCCTTGCAAAAGTAGGTGAGTAGCATTAGAATGTTACAAAACAGTGAGCCCCATTGGGGAAACTAACAGAGAACCAGCCTAGGAGTCAAGAAGACCTCCCTTCAAGTCCTGCCTCTGACACTTGGTGGCTGTGTGACTTTGGGCAAGTCATTTAACCCTTATGTCACTACCATTTAGTAAGCAGTGTCAGGGACACTGGGGATAGAAAGAAAAACAAAACCAGTCCCTGTTCTCAAGGAGCTCACAGTCTAATGGGGGAGGCAATGTGCAAACAAGTATGTGCAAACAAGATATCGATAGGATGAATTGGAATAGTCTCAGAAGAAAGTGGCTAAGGTTGAGGAGGAATGACCGAGAAAGGCTTCTTGCAGATAGTGGGATTTTAGCTGAGATCTGAAGGAAGCCAGGGAAGCCTGGAGGCAGAGATGAGAAGGGAAAGGTATGTGGAAGAGTCAGTGAAAATGCCCAGGGTCTAGAAATGGATCACAGAGGTCTGGGTCATCAGATCAGAGAGGAGGTGGAGGGGGATGAGGTATAGAGTGGATAGAGTGCTAGGTGTGGAGTTTGTGAGTTCAAATCTGGCCTCAAAAACTAGCTGTGTGACCCTGAACAAGTCACGGACCCTGTCTGCCTCAGGTTCCTCATCTGTCAGATGAGCTGGAGAAGAAAAAGGCAAGCCATTCTAGCATCTTTGCCAAGAAAACCCCAAATGGAGTCAGGAAGGGTCAGACTCGACTGAAAAAAGTAACTAAATAACCTCTCCTTGATACTCTGTTCTTCCTAGGTTTTAGGGACATCACTCTCTCCTGGTTCTTCTTCTACCTGTCACACTGCTCCTTCTCAGTCCACTTTCCTGGATATGTCCATTAACCTTAGGTATCCCACAGCACTCTTCTCTGAGTCCCCTTCTCTTCTCCCTTTGTATTATTTCATTGTGTCACCCAGCTGCCCACCAAGGAGAAGGGGATGAGCAGTAGTGTCAAAGGCTGTAGAGAAGTCAAGAAGGCTGAAGATACAGAAAATGCCATTTGTTTTGGCAAGTACAAGATAATTAGTAAATTTGGAGAATGCACTTTTGGTTGAATGATGAGGTGAGAAGCCAAACTGCAGATAGTTAAATGAGTGAGAGGAAAGTAAATGGAGGCATCAGTTGTAGTGAGCTTTTTCAAGGAGTTTAACTGCAAAAAAGGAGAGATATAGGTAGATAGCTAGTAGGGATGGATAGATCAGGTGAGGGATTTTTTAACATGGGGTACACATGGTTATGTTTGTAGATAACAGGAAAACAGCCAGTAGAGAGGGAGCAATTGAAGATTAGTGAGACAGTAGAGGTAAGAGAGGTACCAGTCTGCAGAAGATAGAATGTACTGGGGTCCCTTGAGCATATGGAAAGGTTTGCCCTGAAGAAGAAAAAGACCACTTCCAGGGAGTCATCTCAGACCAGCTATTGTTAAACTTTCGACGTGAGCATTTATATCTTGGAAACTAGCAACGACTACAAATCAGAGCTTGCTCAGTTGTTCCATTGATTGTCTAGACTGGAGAAAGTGATGAAGAAAAATGTTAATAACACAGATTAAACTTAAAAGTATGTCATGTATACATTTTCTTTCCAGAAAGCTGTTTGTTAAACACTTACTCACACACCAGTAAGCTACTTTTTTGTGTGAGACAGGAGTAAAGAAAGGGATGCTGGCAGAAAGCATCTGAGTGATGACAAAGAAAGAAGGCAGTCTCTGCAAATGGCCCCAATAATTTCAGTGAAGTATGAGGCAAGGTTGTCAGCTAAGAAGGCAAGTGAGAGGACAGCTGTGGGAGGTGCTGTGGGAAATGGGATAGTGAATGGATCAGAGAGATGTAAAAGGATTGCCTTGCCTTAGGAAGGGCCCAGTTGAGACTTTGTAGCACAAACTTGTAGTGGTCCCAATCAACACAGTTTTGTACCTCAGTTTCCTTACTAGTAAAATAGAATTTGGACTTGGCCTCTACCACTGTATATTGGTAGAGGGATTTCCTCATCATGAGTTCCTCATACCAATGAAATCACAGCTCCAAACCAAATACCTACATACATACATACCGTAGTCAAGGATTGAGGCTATATCTTTCTCAGGCTGTGAGATGACTTGTAGATGTGGAAATGTATTTCAAAGCCCTTTTCCTTAAAGAACTATTTCCCCAAACCAGGAACCGTGTTCCTGGTTGAAGCTTTGGACTACTCACAACCCAATCACTGTGAGTAAACTCCTCCCTCCCCCTCACTGCTCTTTTGACATAATTACTCTCAGTATTTGAAATGCTTATCTCTAGCAGTCCTCATCTATACCCAGAGAAATGGGACCATTCTTTTCTTCATTTATTCTTCCAGCTCACCAGCCCTTCTATGACAAATCACACCATATCAAACAAGAATTAAGAAGATTATAGGGTTTCAGAAATAAATAAAATATTATTTTAAGGGAAAGAGGGGATAAGGGTGTTTGGTTTTTTGGGTTTTGTTTTTCTTTTTGGTGACCGCTGATTTTTTTATAATGCTGTCCAGAAAGCAAGGAATAGCCTGAACACAAGATGGCAGGAGACACAGAGGCTTTGAAGATGGTTTTGGGAATAGTTGGAGTCAAGTTTGTGTCATACCTCACTAGGGTAGCAGAGATAGGCAGAGGTGTATGTAGAAGGTACCCAACCTAGATTTCTGAGATCAAGGATGATGTCAAGGTTACTGAATTTAATAGGTACAAATTAAAATGGAGAGCATTAGGCTTAAAGCTTTTCGTGAAACACACTCCCCACCTTTGGCATACTTGACAGAAGCATGCTGAGATTGCATATGTATTGCAATTTGACAAATTGTCTGGGTACTACTAGGCAATGTTTTCGTGTTTCCAAGAGACTGGGCCATTGTGAAATTTTTTTCCCCTGCAGTAAAACCAGCCTGAGCCAGACTGGCTGGGTATCTGCTGCCATGCTCTTCTCAAACATGACTCTTGCTGATGAAACCAGATGGGAGCATTTTCTCCACTTATTACAGGCCTGTTTATAGTGACTTTGTTTTTATTGCCAGCCATACAGGGCCTTCAAATGGGAAGAGGGAAGTTATGTTTTAAGGAAAACAGGTGAGCAAGCAAAAGATTTCTGTCTTGTCATTCCCTGTGTGTGAGCCATCCAAGGGACAGAGAGTGAGAGAGAATGTGTGTGTGAGAAAGAGGAGAGAGAATGCAAAAGAGAAAAGATAGGATGTTAGAGAGAGAGAATGCAAGAGAGAGAGAAGAGAGAGAATATAACAGAGAGAGAAAGGAGAGAGAATGTGTGAGAGAGAATGTAAGAGAGAAAAAAGAGAAAGAGAAAAGAGAATGAAGCAGAAAGGAAAGATCGAATGTAAGAGAAGGAGAGAGAAGAGAGAATGTAACAGAGAGAAAGGAGGGAGAGGGGAAAGAGAGAAGGGGGAGAGAGAGAGGGGAAGGAGAGAGAGAGAGGGAGGGAGAGAGAGAGAGAGAGAGAGAGAGAGAGAGAGAGAGAGAGAGAGGGAGAGAGAGAGAGAGAGAGAGGGAGAGAGCAAGCAAACATATGGGCATCTTGTTATAAAAGCAAAAAGCAGCGCACACATTACCTCCCTGAAGCTTGTTGCCAGACAGACTGATTATCTCTCAGTTTCTTATATGTTTATTGTAAAGAAAGTAAATCAAACTGTGCTCTAGATCGTCAGGCAGGGGTATTTACTATCAACATGAGAGGGAACAGAGGAGATATGAGCCCAGAAAGGCAAGGGGGTGCTCCTGGTCTCAGTAAAACTGAACACAAAGGAGGTTGGGAAGAGATTAACTCAGGAGAGGTTTTGGAAGGATGGCTGGCTAGACCGCATTTCTGTCTTCTAAAAAAAAATTTCAAATATCTGAGTGGGAAATATGTTTTAGAAGATTAAAAACTCTTCAGGGATAGTCTAGAAAATTGTACTAGACTTACATGAATGACAAATCATTTCTCTCTTTCCTCCCCGCCCCCAAAGCATTTTTTTTAAATGACAGATGTGTTCTTGCGACTTGCAAAAGAGGATTTGAGTCAAGAGCTGAGGAGGACAGATCCACGTGTTGTTGGGATGGCCCTTTTGTTTAACTCCCAGAGAAAACTGGGAGGGGCAACATGTGGATAGTGGATAACAGCCTCAAGACAAACAGCACACCAGCATTTTTCTGTGCAGTTAGAGTCAGCCCAAGAACCTAGGGCACAATCTGGAACAAAAAAAAAAAAAAGAGAGAGAGAAACCATGGAATCATTAACAGAAGAAGCTGTGAAGTATTATCTTATGAATAAGGTAAGGATGAATGTTTCTGTCCCCCTATCCCTCTGTTCTCTTGCCATTCACTCATCTGTGTAGATACTGTGGGTTTTGAGGAGAAAATTCTTATGGAGCCCCTTTAGGCTTAAAGGTAATCAACAAGCATTTACAATGTGCCAGGCACTGTGCTAAATACTGAGGATACAAAGAAAGGGAAAAAAAAATATGGTCCCTGCCCTCATGAAACTCACATTCTATCACGGAAGGAAATATGCAAAAAAAAAAAAGTGTACAAAGATATTATACACACAGATACACATAGGCACATATATGTATGTATATGTGTATGTATATTGTATGCATTGCAAATGGAAATAACCTAGAGCCGTCCCATTACTTCTTCCTTCTTAGGGTTCCTTTAACGCTTTTTAGTTTCTTTCTTAGGATTTCTTTGCTGATGATTCCGTCTCTTTCATGTTTTCCTATTTCACCACATCCCCTTGGAGTCATTCAAAAGCTGCTTTGTAATCGTTCTGACATTTCTCAAGTCAATTTTGTCTCCCTGACTGGACTGGTGAGCTCCCCCGGAGGCTGAGACAACTTCCTTTGTTCTTTGTGTATCTTACAGAGTGCCTAATACAGTGTGTCCTGTACAAGGATGGCTTCATTTGGCCATGTTTACTAAATGCCCATTAGAAGGAGCCCAGAGCCCAGCGTCACTCAGCAGTGACTAAGAGTTGTGGTGCTCCCAGCTAGTATCAGAAATGAACCCAGGGCAAGTGGCCAATTTCCCTCAGTTGGGGGGGGGGAGCATGTGGGAGGGAGGGAAGACAGGAGGACACTATCACCTTCCAGTAGGGGAACTCAGACAGAATGGAACTGCCCACTTTTATAAAGAAAGAAGGTGTTCACACCTGGTCCAGGCATCTGGTAGCTTGCTTTTGTATTTAACTAATTATCTCTGTTAACTGGGTAATGAGCTCTTTTGTTTCTAGCTGGCCAGGAAAGGTAAGTCAGTGCCTGCTGGTAAATTCAGTACCCTCAGGCAAAGAGCTAACTGTCATCACCTAGTTAGAGTTCTACTAAGGTAATACAAATCCCTCATTCAACAGATAATGAAACTGAGTCCTAGAGAGAAGTTCAGAAGAAAAGGGAGCAAGGTCTGATAAAAACAATAAGCACCTTGAATAGTTTCAGGACTTTTCAAGGACTTTCATTAAACCTTCTGGGGAAAAAGTCATTCTCATTAATTAATTAATTAATAAGTATTATTTTTATATTTTGCCACCTGAGAGTTCTTAGGCAGAGTAAAAGGAAAAATGAGGTAGGCAGCTGCTCACTATAGGTATAATGAGAACTGTACCTTTTTAACTCTCTTCGGGACTAAAGGCCATGCTATTAAGGGTAATAATACTCAGTTAATATTCACTGAAGATTTGTCTTTAGAGGTGCAGAGCTCACTGTAGGTACTTTGTAGATGTTTTTAAAACTTTGTACCTTTACCTCCTGTTATAAAAATTGAATCTATCAAGTAACCAGTCCTTTTACACTTACAGTTTAGAGGGGAATCCATATACCTGAGTTTTCTTTGTTCAATGTTCAAACTTGAATTATTGTTAAAGTTCTAGGTAAGCAAAATTCTTTCTATTATTCTTCCTATCATTGTTTTAAGTAGCTCAGCAGGGAGCGTCTGTAATGAATTTAGAAGCATTAATCGTTGGAAAGATCTGCATTATCTACAGAGTAAAATCCAAACTCCATTGAAGGCTCTCCATTGTATGGAGTCATTTGACCTTCCCAATCTCTTGAAAGGAACATTGATTTTATAACCAGAAGAACTACTTCAACTGGACACATTTGCCTGCTGTCATTCATTCATTCATTCATTCATGTACATGTATGAATGTGGTTAATAATTAGTGAGTCTCTGTCCTTCCTCTTATTTTGTCTTTTGTCTCCTACCTCCTACTTCGAACATCCCCCTATTATATTTCCCTAAGCCATATTCCTACACTCCTTCAGAACTATGCTTAAGATTCATTTGCTCCATGAAGACTTCCAAGGTTAGAATGATTGGCCATCGGCTACTCTAAATACTTCTATGCCTTACTTGTGCAGGTTTTCCATAATCCTCTATGAATGTGCCCATCTCTGCTTTATTCATGTCCATCTAGAAACTGTTATTTAATAAATATTGGGGTTTACAGCTCCTTATCAGGCCTTTGGGGAATGCTTATTTAAAAAGACATGGTTCCCATCTTCTAGGAATTTACAATCTAATCTTTATCTGTCCCTAGTTATCAAACTATCTTGTCTTCTCCTTTAGAGTATAGTATTCTTGGAGAACAAGAGTTACATCTAACATATTATTTTTAGCTCTCTGCAGGACTTAGGATGATGTCAGCAAGGGAAAATAATATTCAGCACATACTAATTTAATATTTATCTTTCGAGATAAAGAGGAGATGGAGAAGAGGACAGGTAAAGATGGAGATCTGGGTAATATCACAGTACAATACCATGTCTCATTGGAGAGAGGTGGAGCCCACAAAAATTTGGGGCCCCAGGCAATTCTTTCTTTAAAGTTGCCTTTATTATTTTGATGTGATCTCTGATAAATTTCAACCAAAATACTCACCTAGAATAATGACTTCTTTGGGTCTCAGATTCCTCATCTGGAAAAAAAAAGAGAAGGAATTGAACTAGATAACCTCTAGGCCCAATTTAGCATTAACACGTTCTGTGATAACTGAGAGACAGCAAAGTGAAGTTTATAGGGCACTGAATTTGGAGTCAGAAAAACCTGGGTTTGAATCCCACTTCAGACACTTAACAGACATGTAACCATGGGCAGTTCACTTAACCCTCAGGGTCACATTCCCTCATCTGCTAAATGGGGATAATAATAGCACCTACTGTTATGAGGGTCAAATGAGATCATTTATATATGGTGTTTCTGCAAACCATGAAGTGCTATTTAAATATCATCATCCTCATCATTATTGTTTTTGTTTTGGTAAAAATGCTCTACATGAATGTGTTATTACACATTTGTGATTCTCTTAGGTCTATCATTAGTCCATATGTGTAGACTCTCCACACAGTTCTTTTACTGTCTGTTACATAATAAAACCATAACAAAGACAAGCTTTTAAAGATCTTATATGACAACTTACATTATATTTTATATTGTAACTATACAATTGCAGTTCTTTTAAAACCATATATTTTTTGGTATGTTGTGAAGGTGTGGTGTTCTATGTCAGTAAATCCCAAAGCCTGGAAGTTCCTATCAACCTGGAAAAGTTTCGAGTTAGGTTTAGTGATTATAGCTCATGTGACATTTGTCTAAGGAACAAACAAACTGAGTTTGCAATCTTGGCAACACTCAGAATAGTTGAAATCTGTATCATTGAAAAGAATGCCCTACTAATAAAATTATAGATACTTCAAGAATATGATGATGATAATGAGGGAGAGGAAGAGTGTAGAGTTGAGCTTAATGCTTTAAGATTTGAAATTCACAGGGGCAGCTAGGTGGTGCAGTGACTAGAGTTCTGGCCTTGGAGTCAGGAGGACCTGAGTTCAAATCTGAACTCAGATACTTGACATTTACGAGCTGTGTGACCCTGGGCAAGTCAACCCCAATTGCCTCACCAAAAAGCAAAAAAAATAAAATAAAATAAAAGATTTGAAAGTTAAAGTTTTGAAAATATTTCACACACCTCATTTGATCCTCACTACAATCCTATGAAGTAGGTACTACAGGTAATATTTAATATCATCCCCATTTTAAGATGAAAAAAACTGAGGCCCCAGAGAGGTTGTGAAAGATCTATGATCACATAGCTAGCAAATATCAGAGGTAGGATTTGAACCCAGGTCTCTTCCGGCTGGGGACAGATTAAGATCCTTATATAGGCTTAGTCCAGGGTAACCTAGTAGGTTACCCTGATCTCTCCCCACACCTGGCTTAACTTCTGTCTGTCTCCTTCATAGATCCTTTGGTTAATGTATTTTTATAAGTGGATCTAATAATATGATATTTCTTAAATCTTGTAATTAAAAATCTTTTAAATTAAATTTTAATTTTAAATTTGATTTTGAACCTAAAATTTAAATTTGATTTTAAATTTAAATTTTAAATTGAATTTTAAATTTAATTGAATTATATATCTTTTTAAATTAAAAATCTTTTAAAATCTTGCAATTGTATAGTTACAATATAAAATATAATGTAAGTTGTCATATAAAATCTTTAAAAGCTTGTCTTTGTTATGGTTTTATTATGTAAATATTTATTATGTAAATATTTGCATATAAAGTATTGAAATGTTGAATAGTTTCTTCATAATCCTTTATAGTTGTGCTCCCTGTAGCTACAAAATATTTGGACCTTTCTCCTACCTCTTTCTATAATGCCCACTGCCTCTCTAAAGAAGAATTTTTAGTTAATTTTTTTTGGGTACTCTCTGCAGAATCCATGCAGCTTGTTAAAAACAAGCAAGTCTTCCTTTATTAATTAACTTAGTGAATACAGAATGGGAGAAATCATCTCCCAGAGGTCTTCTGGTTTGGACAGGGCCCCAAAGTCAAAATGGGATTTGAAATGATTTCATTGTAGGTTTCTTATCTGGTCAGACAGAGTTGGGTTGTTTTTTTTAAATACCTTATTACAGGATAGATCTGCTGATGTGGCTTGAGGGAAGAGACCATATGATTTCTTTCTGTGTTTTGCAAGGCAAGGCTGAGGTTGTGGGGGCCAGCTTGGTGGCAGGTTTCTACTTGTGGAAGTTTCTCCTTGTTTGGACAAAGCTCTACATGATCAGACTCCCTCAGAACAAATCTTCCCCCATGAGTAACTATGAAGTAGTAGGTTACCCTGATCTCTCCCCACACCTGGCTTAACTTCTGTCTGTCTCCTTCAACCCTGAAGTCGAGATCACTTTAACATACCCCTAATTTGACCTAAACAGGAGTATAGACTCACACAATATGTGTGCTTCAAGGGACCACCACCTCTAGTCTAAACCCCC